TTTATTTTGCTATAAATTAATAAAATTTAATTTAATTTTATAATACATAAATTAATTATAAAAATTATAAAAACTTACGGAATACTCCAAAAAAATTATAAAAATTATAAAAACTTATGAACTACTTCAAAAAAAATTATAGATATTTTTTATTGATGCTGATTTTATTAAATTTGATTGAAATATGATGTGAGAAATCTATACTTAACAATAAAAATTGAATATTTTTAAAAGCCTATAAAATTTTATATAAATAGAAATTTAAAAAAATAAACCAGTAATATTGTTATTTAAAATATATTCTTTTAAGTTACTGGTTAAATTTTTAAAATAATACATATATAAAAAGTTATAAGCATTTAAATTTTAATATTTTTCTATATTTAGATCAAAATTGAAATAAAAATTTTTGTTACGTGCAAAAATTTAATCACGTGAATAAATTTGTATTGGTTTAACTTTGTATAATGATATATCTATAAAAAAATTTTAACTTGAATTTAAATATTACCGTAAACCACTGCATACAATACCCTGGGTATTAATCATTCCATCAGAAAAATTACTTAAGGAAAAAAAGAAAAATACTATTAAAAAAATCAGGAAGGGTACTATTCAAGGGGGGGTATTGTATGCAGTGGTTTACTGTAATAATCGATTTTTTAATTATAATACATTATCAAGTAAGATAAGTCATTGTTAAGTAGTATTAAAATTTTTTTAGAGATGCCACATCTAACAAAACGAAAAAAACAAATAGCATATATACCAAGAAAAAAAGGATATTTTGTTCAAGAAGAAGATAATAAAACTACAGTAATTGTTAATAATACTACTACTATTATGAATCAACTTGTTATAGAAAGAGTTGCTACTACTAATACTGGTAAGAAAGACTTATTTTATAAAAAGATTCTTATTTTATAGAAATTATTATTGATAATAAACAAGACTTTTATTCTATAGAGGTTATTGTCAATATTAATATTCAAGAAACTGTTGAAAAATGGTCTGAAAAAGATTTAAGAGAGTTTGAAAAAATTAAAGAAAAATTTGTTAGTGAAGCTCTTAATTGGTATAAAGAAGCTGGAAATAATCTTAAAACAACATATATTGGAAACTCAAGAACAACGGTATGGAGACAAAACAAAAAAAAAAAGAATATGCAGAACATTCCAAAGAAATGAAAATGATTGATATGTTTTTTCAATCAGATTCAAATAATTTTAATTCTTCACAAAAGATAATACTAAATATACGTTTTGAAGAAATTAACAAACAATACTTGATTGGAAAATCTACAAAAGTAAACACCTATAATCACTTACGTCTCTTAAGTATTCGTTGATTTATACAACTATTGTTAAATGGAAAAGGCAAAATGAATGCTAGCCATCAAATTGCAAAAACTATATGAAACAAAGGAGATTATACAGCTCGATGCATTCGAAATTGGGGAAGTTATTTTATACAAATAGGAACACTTCCTGCTTGTTATCAAGGAAAGCATACAAAACTCAAAAGTCTATTAAGTGATAAAAACTTTATTGAAGATTGCAAAGTATAGTTGCAACAACAAAAACCAGAGACACGTTCCCCTAACAATTTAAAAATATATATTGAAAGTATATTATTTCCAAATGGATAGGATTTATAAAAAAAGATACTATTTCAAAAAAAACTTGCAAAAATTATATGCGTATGTGGGGATACAAATATAATGAAAAAAAAAAGATATCTATTATGATGGGCACGAAAGATTGGATGTGATAGCCTATAGAAAAGAATAGTTAAAGAGAATGTTTGAATATAAAAAAAATATGAAAGAATTTGAAGGTGATATATTAAATATTATAATAGAACCTTAAGTTGAATTAGGAAAAAAGGAAATTGTTCAAGTAACACATGACGAATGTCATTTCTATGCAAATGATGGTCAGCGAAAAGTCTGGATTCGAGATGATAAAGATATTCTACGTTCAAAAGATATAGGCCATTCTATTATGGTTTTAGCTTTTTTATGTCCTTGTTATGGATTAATGCAATTATCTAAACAACAATTACAAGAAAATCTGCATATTAAATATAAAGAAGCTTTTATTCTTTGCTCTGTTCAAGAAGATAGATACTGGCGATTGGAGCATATGTTAGAGCAGGTTTGTAATTTTTTTTTTTTATATATATTGAATTTATTAACTAAATTTTTTTTTATAAATATAGTTAGTTAACCAAGCAATACCGATATTTGAAATATTACATGCTGAATGCATTGGTATTTTTTGTTTCGATCAATCAACAAATCACAATGCCATGGCAGAAGATGCATTAGTTGCATCAAAAAAGAATTTGAGTTCTGGAGATGAACAACCCAAAATGCGTAATGGTTGGTATATGAACAATGAAGAGATATATATTCAATCGATGATATTTCCTAATGGCTATTCAATAAAAAAATTAAGAGGACAATCAAAAGGCATCAAACAAGTATTAATAGAGCAGAACCTCTGACCAACAAAGAAAATTAATTTAGTATATAAGGAGTGTTCTGGAAAAATTGATATTCCAATAAGGTTGGATTGTTGCGTACAAAAAATTATGTTTTTACAACCTGATTTTTATGAACAATAGTCAATATTGAAAGAAGCAGTTATGAATGCTGAACATATTTTTGAATGCTACCCCAAGTTCCATTGTGAATGCAACTTTATAGAATGGTATTGGGATTTTGTCAAATGGGAAACAAGAAATATATATAGTTACAATTATACAGATTTATTAATTCAAGTTCCTGATGTTCTTAAAAATGTGCCTGTAACTACAATCTGCAAATTCATACGTAAGTCATGGTGATATATGGATGCATATGATAAGGGATTAAAGAGTAGAGTTGCTGAATAGGCTGTTATTAAATTCAAATCACATCGGAGATTGCCAGAAAATATTGAGAAGATAATAGAAGATAATACAATGAATAAATAAAGTTGTTTCTTAAATAAATCATTTTGTATACAATAATAATGTATATAATTAGAAAATTGGAAATAATCCAAAATAAAAAATTAAAATTTATTCATAAATTGATTTATTATAAATGCGTGTATGCATATAAATTTAAAACTTTTTTTTTATTTTTAATTAGTTGATTAGTTGACAAGTAAATAATGTATAATTGTAGTTAAAACAAAAATAACATTTGTGAAGTATAGACTTTTTTCAACACTTTGAGTAACAAAATATGCTTGTGAAACTAATAGTCTATAAACTCAATTGACTTTTCTTAAGAATTTGCTTAAAAATATAAAAAAATGAAAATACACTTAGAAAACTTGCTATATAATAGTCAATAGTTATAAGATTCTGTTCAACAAGTATACAAATAACAAATATATACTTGCTAAAGCTTACTCCTAAAAAGTCGATAATATAGTTAATCCAATTTTCTTAATGATTTACTCAATAAATATATAAATAACAAAAATATGCTTACTATCTTAAAGTCGACGATCAAGTCTCGATTCTTAATGGTTATGTGCTATGGTTTTTCCAATAATGTTTGGTACGGGCTGCATTGACCATTTTCCAAACTTCCAATTTACTTGATTCCTTTAGGTATTGTCATCCTGACTATTCTGTCTTGCGAAACTTGTGCCATGTACGGATATCATTGATGTTACCACGTGAAGCTCCCTTGTACACATGTTGTCTAAATAAATTATTTTGAACATAAACATCACATTTGCTTTTTGTTATCACAACATGAAAAGGTTATCAAGTTTAATCGCTTTGTCCTTGTATATATATGTGTGACCCCTTTATTATTGTAAATGCTATTGTATCACTAATTGTTTCATTTGTATCTTGCTATATTTTTCGACCAATCGAGTGTCATCTTTACATTGCACTACATCACACTTAGATTTCGATAAGGCTCTCCCAATTATATTATTGGTTAGTAGCCCTTTTATTGAAACACTTATCTGAGTCGTCTTCTTAATCATCACATAGTGCGAAATGCTAGTTTTGCAAAGATGCCCAAGTATGAAAACTATATGCTTCCTATAGAAACACACTCATCACTCATTGCCATGATGCTGGAATGGTGCGCAGCCTAACAGCACCTTCTAGGTAATCAGATATAGTTCCCTTCTCATTCTTTTTGTACAAGCTCTAATCGATTGATGTCGACAGCACATTGTGCCACTTCAGAGCACCCTAGATCTAGAATCATTCTTGCATAGTACTCTGTTCCTATCCTAATGTCCCCTTCTATTTTTTCTATTAGTTCTTTTTCTGCGATCTGATTCTCATCATATGGCTTCGACAGTTCTCTCTGTCGTACTAATTGTTCTGCGGGATCTGTAACATTAGAGAGCAATCCAGTGCTGAAGTCGAATTCAATACTTATTTTTTCAGTATGATGTCTTTTTTTCCATCAATCTTTTCACGATTCTCATCACATGTCGTTGGTGATTCTTTTATCACTGCGACGTCTTGTTCTTCCGAGACTGCTTTTGCTAACTAGTGTCATCTCTCTGATATGTCCTCTTCCTTCTTCTCAATTTCATTGACTTTGTTGAAATCCTTTTTGGTCACTATCAACGTTTCTTCCCATTGGAAGACATATGTTGCAGGACCTAGGACCTTCAGTCGTGCTTTATCATTGGAGTCAGAACTTTTACATATTTCCCCTGTTACCTCACCTTTCCCTTCCTAACAATATATCGCCTTCATCCATTTTCCCTTTCTCATAACAACTTTTATCTCACGAAACATTCTCACTAATCATATTACAAGGTTTCCCATTGTCGATTTCATCAATAGATGCATTTTCAGCCTCATAATTCTGGATTGGGAACCTTTTCTTCTTTCTAACCTGAACCTTCCTTTATCAGTTTTTTCTTTATTTCTACAGTGTTATCATCGTTGTACTCAGATTCTCAGACTTGAGACTTGAGCCTGGTTCTCAGTAGCCCTTTTTCATCATTCTTGACTCCGACACAACATTCTATTCTCTGCTTCTGTCCTTTTTTAATAAACTATAGCACCAAGATCAATGACCTCTTCCTCCTTATCACTATCGCTTTCAGTATCGTTAGATCATGTCTCCATAGTCGGAATACCTTCCTGGTCAAATTGTCTTTCTCCAGTGTAATGACCCCTTTCACCACATACAATGCATTGTTCAAAAACCAAATCTGCAAAAAGATTTGCACTTGCTTTCTGTTTAATGAACAATATTTAGAATTAAAATATAATTAAATATAATATTTTATTATTTTACCTTTATGAATTATGAAATTACAAATCGTTTTTAATGTATAAAAATTTATTAATCAATAAGAATTATTGGTTAAAAAAGATCATGTGAGTGACACATCATGTGATATATGTTTATAATAATTTGAAACAAATTGTTAAGTATAGATTTCCTATATCATATTTATTAAAAGATTTAAAAGTTATATCTTTTTACTTAATTATTGAATTTTCAGATTTGATAGTCTATATTAATTAAAAAATCTACTTAAAGCATTTATTAGAAAGTATATAAAAAAATCTTTAATACTATAGTTATATAAGTTAAAGATATGAAGTAATAAGATATTTAGATAAAATTTAATTAGTATATTACTCTTCTTATATCTTAAATTAAGAGCAAGGCTAGGTGATTTAAAATTGAAGACAGAATTTTTACTAATATATAAACCTATTTATAAGATATAAGTTGATATAGTCAAATTAATAAGCAATAAATAATAATTAATTTACAAATGTAAAAAATTATTAATGTATTGATTATAAATTAAATATATAAATATTTAATAAAATTATATATTTATATTTATTTGCTTAAAAAAAAATAATATTTAAAAAAATATAAATTTATATATTGATTAAAATATAGTTGATAAAGATAATAATATTATTAATTATTAGAATTGCTTATAAACAAACAATCAAATAATTAAAAAATTTATTTTATATTAAATATTTTAAAGAAAAAAAAACAAATAATAAATTATTATAAAATATTTGATTTATTGTACTTTATTGATTAAATAAAATATTATAAAACATATTTTATAAAATATTAAAAGGTAACTGGAGAAAAGTTGATATCAAAGAAATTTGTAAAAGGCACAATGTTTCTTTAATACTTTTGACTTGAAATTGATTCTCTGAAAAAAACTAAAACTATATTCAAGCAAATCAAAAATCTTATTTATATAATATGGCAAAAGAGAAAGGGCATGAGATAGTTTTTTCTCCACCACATAATTCAGATTAGAAATCATCTGGATCATTATTAAAGATAGGATATGTTATCAGTATACTATTGATACAGCATTTGCAGATGTCCTTGTGTATTTGCAAACAAGAACTTGAATAAACTACTGGAACATATAATGCCATTGAAAGGGCAAATGAGCTTACACTCGACAATGAAAGTGACAAAGAGGAAGGAGAGAATGAGATTATAGCGAAAATGAGTCTGAATGTGATCTGCTTTGATTACAAGTCCTTTAAAGGTTGGTTCATAATAGTAATGGTATAAATCATGCTTTTTGTTATAACTTTAAGAAAGGAATTGCGAAATTTCAAACTTAGACTCATTGGATGTGTTTTTCTTTTGCGTTTTTTATACTAGAAAGAAAAAGATAGTATGCCAGCTTTTTACCCTGGATGGTGTCGCGAACTTTAAGTAAATTTATGGATTCGCAATTATAAGGTTTTATTTTATACATATCAAAATCATTGATATCAATATTAGCGAACTTCAAATTTTTGTTTTGAGTTAAAAATTATTCATTAAGTGTTAGATCTTCTAATAGCTCTTCTATTCCAATTTCAGGGAAATCATCATCTCCTTCTGAACTTTCTCCAACAGTCCCATCTACATCCATTGCTACAGTTGACGTTGACTTATACAAGTTAACATTTTGTCTGAGCTCAGGATCTTCTTCCAAATCTTGCAAAAACATTTCGTATTCCAGATCCATTTTTTCTGAATCTTGTTTTTTCGAGGCCATTTCTTCTTGCTCTTTTTCCAATGATTTTAGTTTCCAGTTACGTTGTTTGTTTTTCTTACGTCTTTGTGGATAAGATTTTTTGATAAGAACAACATCAGGTATAGTGCTCCGATCAAGAGAATCAAATGAAAAATCATTAAAATTGGAAGATGAAAGATCATATCCTAAAGCAGTATCGCCTGGATTAAGAATACAACCGAGATGAGAACGCGCGAAGAATGTTGTATCATTTTTGCCAAAGTCGGAAGAACGTGCTACTAGGATGTCGGCTAGAACAAACTTTCAGTGAATTTGTAAAATTAACACATAATAAAATTATTTTTGGTAATTTCAAACGTTTAGATAATAACTCCAACCTTTCCTCGCACGGGTCCCAAAGGTTCAACATCTAGAATCTGATACTCCACCAAATTCTTGGAAGATGCTAAGGAATTGAATGGAGTTCTCCAATATAATGAAGTCGCGATCTCGGATACTAATTTATTAAAACATGAAATGATTAAAGAAAAATAATAATGTATAATGAACTCATCCACCAAAAGATTTACTTTACCAGACAATGTATTTGGATCTATAACGTGTATAGAATTTCCCACTCGATAGCAAAGAACTAAAGGGCTAATAATGTATGACAAAATATTAAAATATAAATCGAGAATAATTAAATTATTTCAAAGGTTGCTAACCTAATGTTCCCTAAAGACCGTGCCATCTTAATTGGTAGGCAAACAAGATCATCTTTACAAACGGGTACAATCTCTACAGAATATGTAAACTTCGTATTGGAAGTGTTGTTATGAATGTCAGTCGAGATCAATCGTTCAGATGTTTTTGTTCTGTACATAATACAAAGTTGATCGAATCAGAATATAATTATATTTCAAACCTTGATATTAATAAAACTAACTTACCTAACTGGCACTATAGCACTTAGAAATTCTACCATCTTGATAGCATGAGATCTGTGAGCATAAAAAAAATCAAGACCATCCTTGACTTCTTTTATATTAATTGTGTCTTTGTGGGCGTTGTGTTTTATGATGAGTTGTTCCAGAAAAAAAAAAGTTTTCTTATGACTGACTTTTTGTCTAATTTGTACCATTGCCTGCCATGTATCTTTTGCCATAACACGTGCACAATCACCGCATTGTTGATAATTTACAACGAATTCTACCTCAAAAATTTGTTGTAAAATGGTTGATGCAAAAACCTATAAAGATCATGCAAATGTCAATGACGAGAAAACAAAAAGAAACTCATATTGACAATTATTTACCTCCTTTTGAATAGTTAATTTGACCTTGATTCTTTTTGAATGAGGTTCTGTCCATATAAATCCTGCATCAATAAGTCTGACCTTATTCAAACCCTTCAATTTCTTTAAGCAGAGAGTTAACAATTTCCTGCTTTCCAATTCTGCATTAACCCATATATTTGGCGGTTGTAAATATCTTTCACAATTTCGACAAAATTGTAAAATAGCATGCTTTGGAATGCCCTCAGTTATATCAACTTCATTCCGAATGCAATTAATGCACATATTAGAGGGATTCGGCGAAATCGCAGTGCCACATTGACAGCAAAGGCTATTATTGTTCGTATAGTTTGATTAGAATGATGTAGAAAGTAAAAAAAACAACATAATACTTGCATTAGTTGTTCTACAGTAACAGGTTCGTAATGCATTTTTAAAGGGAAGTTTGCGAGTAAGCGTATCAGATCAATTTATAAGGAAGATATTTTTTTGCTTTGTAATCAACTGTTCCTATTGTAACTTTGCATTTTCCTTTTTTTATACATACATCCTTATTTTCTTTTTTTAATTTTATTATCAATGGTAAATAAATAAAATTAGATTAAAATTATTAATCAATATTATATATTATTATTTTTTTTTGATAACTGCTTTCTGTTTAATCTTTGATTAGAATATAATAATATAATAAGATTATTATATTATAGTTAACCATTTTATTAATTGCAATATATTTGCTAGTAAGTTTACAAATTTGTATATGATTTTTGAATCCTTAATATCAAGATTTTTATTTTTTATTTATTATTATTATTATTATTATTTTATTTATTTTTATTTATTTATTTATTTTTTCTAAAATAATCAAGTGTAATAAATACAAGACTTTTATTAATAGATATTGGCTATTCAAATTATATTCTAAAACTTATACAAATCAATACATTATATATTAATTGCAGATTATTTCCTATATATATATCTTTATTTCAAGACCTCAACTCTATTGCTTAATAATTAACCCATTATAATTCAAGAAGCAGATTTATAGAAAAGTAAAAATCCTATTATTAGTTTTAAATTATCTAAATTATTCTATATTTAGCTTATAAAGAAGAAACAATACTTAAGAAATTAATTCAAATATCTTTCTTTATCTTATTACTCAAATTTCAGATTTTGTTTTATATTATTTCTAAACTTTACAAGTTATAACTTTTTTTATTATCTATAACAGATATTATTTTTTTAAACTCTATATTGAATTGAAATAATTTAGAATAGGACATTAACTATTATAAAACAAATATTAATTAGAATTGATTAAAATAAAACATAGCTCTATTTGTATATTTAAATAAGTTATATTCTTACTTTCTAATAATTATTATAGCATCAACTAAATAATTATTATGCTATATTATTTTCTTTAAAAATCATAATCTTAATATTTACTAAATTAATATATAAATTAACTTTTATAAAAAATAATACTTTGCAGATTATAACATTAAATATTATATTAATTTTATTTAACTGTTTTTATCTAAATTGAACTAGTAATTAAATTATTATTTTATAATATAATCTATAAATCTATAATATATTAGTTTTTTTTTTTATCAAATAGTTTAAATTTTTATTTAAATACTTGTTTATATATTAGTTTTCTTGTCGATACTCGATATATCTAAAATTTAATTAACTTAAAAAGAAATAATTTAAATTTACACTAAGAATTTTTTTTTTTTTTTTTTTTTTTGTAGGTAAACATCATTTCTTTATTTGATTTGTATATAGCAGGGTATACATCATGAAAGAAACAAC